CCCCCCCTAGACCCCGGCAGCAGCTCTATTTGACTCTGGGCGACAGCGCCTGCTTGAAGCGTCTCTTCAGGTCCTGCATGTTGGGGGAGCGCGGCCGCGGGATGACGGTCGGGCGGCGGCGCTCGGCGTGCTGCAGCTTGCTGACCTCCCGGCACAGGTACTGGAACACCTCGCAGACGCCCTGCAAGCTCTCGCTGGTGGAGATCTCAAGGAAGAGGCTGCCCAGTTCGTTGGCCAACTGCAGCCCCTCTTTGGCCTGCACCTGCCTGGCGTGGAGGAGGTCCGCTTTGTTCCCCACCACGACGATGGGGATTCGGGCGTCGGGGTGGAGCTGACGGATGTGCTGGTGGAGGGGACGGACCGCCTGGTAGCTGCCGGGGTCCGTGATGGAGTAGACCACAAGAAAGCCCTCTGCCCACTTCATGCACCTCAACAGCGCGTCCGGTGCCTGCACACAGTCCTCCTGTACCTGTAGAGGGACACAGCCAGGGCTTGGCACGGGACTTGGCATGGGGCTGGGAGCACACGGCCCAGCACAGAGCCCTGCTAAGGGGGTTGAGCTGTGTCCTGGGGGGACTCGGGCCAGCTGTTTCCTTTTTAGGAAAACAGACGCTCATAAGCTGAGCTCTTGAGTGGCAGAGAATGGACCGTAGCTGAGCAAAGCACAGCGCAGGGCATCCCTCGAGCGAAGTGCGGCTCAGTGGGTAGCAGGAAAAAGGGCTGAAAGCTAAATCTGCCCAAAACACGGCTTCGTGACCTTGTACCATTCAAGGGTTCTGAGCCGTACATCCCGGCCAGCAAGGACTGAGACTGGGAACCTCTGTGACCCCCCCCCCAAAAAGATTTTCGACCCCCCGCTCCCCAATCCTCGCGGGTCTGGGCCGGAGCCGCCCGTACCTGGAGGCAGCCCGGCGTGTCCTGGATGTGCACGGCCACCTGCTCCCCGTCCAGCCGCACCAGGCGAGAGTACAGGCTGCCCGTGTTGGGCTCGTAGTCCCCGATGAAGCGCTTGGTCAGGAACCGCACGATCAGCGCTGAAACAGAGCGGCCGCGTTAGGATGGAGCGATAGGGAGCACAGGGGCTGACGAAGGGACGGACAGCCCGCACTCACCGCTCTTGCCGACGCCGCGGGCCCCCAGCACTGCCAGCCGCAGCTCGGCGCCGGGCGGCCCCGGGGAGCACTCGGCGATGGGAGCCAGCAGGAAGGGCTGGGACATGCCCGGCAGGCGCATGGGGCCCGGCTCGTCCCCGCTCGGCTCGGCAGCGCCCGTCTCGGCCCCCGCCGCCCGCTTTTAAAGGCACCGCTGGCACCGCCCCGCAGCCGCCCCCGGCAGCACCGCGCCGCCCACCGCCTCCCCGCGGCACCCCGCGCCGAGCGCTCCCGGATCGCGGCAGATCCCGGTTTGCGTCCGCCCGTCCTCGTAGCGCCCGGTGGGCGCGGACCCCAAGGATGCTGGGGAAGCCTGGGCAGCGATGCGGCCCGGAGCGGCTTTGGGGTCTCGGTGGGTTTGTAGGGTGTGGCTCCAGCCCAAGTGGTGACGGAATCACAGAATCATAGAATATCTTGAGTTGGAAGGGATTTACAAGGATCATCGAGCTCAGCTCCTGGTTCCCACAGGTCCTGCATTATGTGTCACCTCCGCAGCTAGTGCTCTCGAGTCATTACAAGGGAAACGATTTAGTCTTTTATCTCAGTTATGCATCTGGATGCATCCCTCCGGTGTCAAAATCCCAAAGCCTGAAGCCCCAGCCTTGCAGATCACCAACCATCAAGCTTCAAACACTCCACTTGACCCTGGGGTTTGAAATAAGCTTTCTGCTTTTCTGAAGGGAAGTAAAATTTCTGAGGAAATTTGGTCCACGCCAGGCCTGAGGTCACAGCCCAACAGGTAAAGGAGCCTCGAATCCACTAACAGCTCAAATCCCCATGTGAACCTTTGCCTTGGTATCCCCAACACCACCCCTCCAACATGACGCTCTGCAAGGATAGAAGTCTTGACAAGTTGAATAGTTCATTCAAGGGATGCTTCATTTTTATTGCTGTCAGAGAATAACACAAGCCAGCAGGAAAAAGCACAGAGGATGGCACTTCTTCACATGCCAAGCACTGCTGTCACCTTCCTCCCTCCGAGAGCACAACGTACACAACTACAAATCACACTGTTCTTGACTTTCTCTCATCCTCCCTTCTACATTCTCCCTAAGCCCAAGCAAGTGCCCAGATGCCATGTCTGCTCAGCACTTTTTTGGGAACTTCCAGCGACTCAAGAGCTCAGGAGAAGGCTGCCAGAGCAACACAACCCACCCTGTTCTGCCATCACAGAGGCGCTCCCAAGATAAGCCAACCCATGGCACCATTGGGATGAGAATGGGGAGGGCTCCCTGCACCCCACAGCACCAACTGGCCCCCCAAAACCCACATTCTAGCCCACTTAAATTCTCCCTTTCGTGGCTCAGAAACTCCACCTGGTAACAACGCCACTGTTCTGAAGGGCTACGTGTGATTCCCAGCAGTTAACATCATCAGTTAAAGCAGTCTGTCGAAGTTTGTTATTGTTTGTATTACTCCAGTGTCCAAGAACCTCTACAGGAGCATCAAGGCCATTTTTAGCCCAGATTGCTTCTGAAATCTCTCCATCAACACTCCCCATCATGCAGTTTCCCTTTCATAAACAAGGTTTCTCCTCTATCACTAAAAGCTTTTGGTTTCCAGAGGTTCATGCTATTGTCATCTGCTCCTATTGTCATGCACCACCACTTGTCTCTGGCCTTGTGCACGCTGCAAACACAGCCTATTTTTAAACATCTCTTTATAAAAGAGCTATCAGGGTACATCCAGCATGCCCTTGAAAGAACAGCATTAAAATGAGTCCATTCCAAGCAGAAGATTGCCAGGTGCTGAGCTGTGAGAGCAGCAGCACTAAACATCATCCCCATAACTTGAGCTCCTCTTGCTCCTGGCCAGTTGCAGAGCTCAGCGTGTCCTGCCTGATGCCCGCATCCCAAAGGACAAGGGGTGACAGTCACACACTGATGTGACTGCACAAACCAAGGCAGAACACACTGTGAAGCAACCCCTTGCCATGGCCGAAGCCGTTTGGGCTCAGGTTGTTCACATGGCACCTCAGATCAGCAACGACCACAGAGCAAGTCCCCCTTTGGACGCACGGGCTTCAAAGCCATTCCAAGGAATCTCATTTCTCAGCTGCAAACCCTACTTGGCAGACAGTACTCAGTCTGTACTGCTCCACACAAGTTGTCCCATACTGCCAACCCTACAGTCTCTGTAAGGCCTTTCATACAAAGACCATTCAGCCCAAGTTGTATTCCCGCCCCAAGCCCTTCTGGCCTTGAGCACCTCCGGGAATGGCAGCTACAAGCTCTGGGCTTGGCTGGCAGGGGATCTTGAGGATGTTGTCTTGATGCTGTCTTGATGATGTGGGGCAATGAGCAGCAGCCACAAAGCTTCCCTATGTGCAGGAACACTATTGAGAATCTCTGTTGTGAGCTAGCATGCATGCATTGTGCCCCCATGAGTTTCCAGTCCACATTTGAGCGTGGCTTTGCCTCCCATTTCTAATCCTCATTGGTCTGTGGCTGGCCAGTTTGGAGTAGGCATCTGCAAAATGGTGACTGACAGCTCGAGAGCTACCACCCAAAGCCAGACAGCAGAAAATGGAATCAGGAGCTTCACCCAGAGCTTGGCAGTTTCTGGGTTCCCGAGCTGTTCAGGTGCTGAGCACAGGAGCTGCACCCCTAGACAGTGCTTGAGCCAGGACAGTTATGAGTGCATGAAATCTACCAGCTGCAACCTGATTCTTAAATAGGCATAGGTACCTATTTCCCATATAAAGGCAAATTTGCAGCCCCAGAGTGCCAACACACAGTGGGGAACACCAGCAGCACTCCTGAATCATAAGGCACTTCCCATACAAATGGCAAGCCCAGCTGAACTGTGTCCTTCCTCACACACCATGAATTACGGGAGCCCTCTGCACCTCAAGGTTTCTGCAAAGGCCCACAGGAGGACCTGTGTCAGGACAGCCAAGATCACATCCTCTGACAGGTGTGCTCACACAGCTCTCTGCACCCTCTGGACCAGCTGGGGCCATCCCACCCATGCAGGATACCATCCTTCAGATTATGATGCTGAGGCACAGACTGGATCAAGGACAAGACAACGTATGTCAGCATTTCCTTCTATCACTAAGCCGGAAGACTACAGAAGCATTCATTTGTATGCCCTTGTGGCAGCTGCCTACCTGCCTACCCCCAGGAATGTGAGGTGTCTGCATTTTCCTCGCTCCTCAGGCACAGATTCTCTTCCCCAGTCCTTTCTGCCCTTTCACTGACCGTTCCCACTCACACAAAGCATCACCATGCATCACACTGCCTACACAGCCCCCAAGAAAGCTCACATCTTGGCACGAGTGATGCACGAGATGAAGGTGACAGCTCAGGTTTTCCTGTGTCTCTTCTGAGTATTCAGCAGAGGAGGAAGGGAACCAGCTGCAGTAGTTCAAGGCAGTAAGGACTGACACACCTCAGCCCTCACCTCTGAATTAGGCTGCCTGGAATGCACAGCACCACACAGAAGTGTAACAGCTTGTGCTGATCCATGAGCACTCCACTCCCCACGTGTTGTACAAGGGTAATGTGACCACCAGCTCCAGAATGTAAGTGAATTGTCTGCAAAACTGAAATTGCACTAGCTCAACTATCAAAGAAATCTGTAGCTTCGCAACCTTCTCCGGGAAGTTTTCCAAAATCATTGTGGAAGAGAATGAAATTCACAGAAGTCTGTTAGGATAAGCAGCTGCAGCTGCCACACAAAGCTGCATGGCTTTGCTGGGTAGGCACAGCCGTCACGACAGCTAAGTGCTGATCACAGCAAGTGGGTCTAACCCATAGCAGCCCAGCAGTAACCAGAAGGCAGCACCTACAAACACATGACAAAGTTAAGCCTTTGCCAGTCTGTCCTTCCAAACATCCCAGCAAACCTAAAAAGGCTCTCTTCTCTCGCAAACCCAGTTTCATTTTCCATCACTTCTGGGAATGCAGACGAAGGAAAGCACGCCCTCCTGCTCTTCCCAGCCCACACAGATTTCAAACAGACACTCATGATCAGCTATTGCCTGCACAGCAACCTTCAAAATCACTGAGATGAAGTGGAAAACTCCAGAAACACAGCTCCCATAGAACTCAGTTTAAAACTACCCAACACTTATTCATGGCTGATAATGTCCCCATCAGGATGATACAGCAAATCCACTCCAGTCTTCACAGTAAAGCATAAAATAACTCACAAAAGCATGCAACAGGGGGAAAACAGATGGGAATACCATCCCCAAAGAGCATTCCCATTAATGCATCTCATTTAACTCTTACAAACATAAAGCCTAATGGAAAATGCCCACCTTACAAGTCAAACATTTATTTTAGATTGCTGTGGAAGCTCCCAAGCCAAATAAGCTGTTAACAGTCTAGTTTAATATACATACCCCACTGCTCCAAGACAAATGCATTTGCTCATAAAAGCTGAGCGCATAAACAGCAGCAAAAGTTAGCAGTCAGCATGCTTCCTCCAGGTGAAGGCAGCATACTCCACATCTAACATGCAATGTTGAAGTACCACACTGCCATTCTTCATCAGCACATGAACAGGTAAGACTTGTCCCATCTTCATCAAGGCACTTTAAGCACATTCTTCTAAACTATTTAAGAATGCATATTGACTCTGCGATGTCCTAAAAACCCTTTTACTGGCTACAGTGGTGAAACAACTGTCTTTCCACAGCCATTTCTCAAGAAATGCTTTGAAAAAAACATTTCCCCAATTATTCCTTGGTATTAAACTGAGGCCCTTCAGCCAAAAGCTTTTATTGATGGTATCTGAAACCAGCTGTTTTCCCATTAAAAAAAACCTTAACCTTGAGACACCGTACAGTTCTTGCTATTTGCTCTCAGTTCGCCGGTGAAATTATTCCATGTCCTCTCATATTACCTCACTAGGTAATCAAAGGAGGATGATCATCATTGAGCAATAGCAAATGTCAGCATCCCCAAGGTTTATGGTCTACATAAATGACTAAACTGATGAGCAAAAGGCGCCAATGTTTTTAACAACCAAGCACTATGCAATGTAAGCTAAAGAAATAAGCTTAGAAAAAGTTTTCTAATAATCTCTTTAAAAAAAAAACTGCAAAGGAATCAGCCACAATCCCATACACTT